ATAAAGATTAGATGCAGAGACAAATTGTTCCTATTTCTCCAAGCTGCCTAGATAAGAACTCAAGTAAGTGGTCCATTTTTTTAATTCCTTTACATCTTTAGTGCAGCCACTCCCAATTCCCTCTTAGTGGCAATATCAATAGAATTTAGAAAATCAAAGCAATTCAAAGAGTGGAATGACTCGCAATGCTACCAAAATCAAAAGGTCCATTATTGGAAAACCCTTTAATTGAGGAAGTGTAGTGAAGCATGCGAGACTTGGTTGGAAAGTTTGTAAGGAGGACATTCCAAAAAGGGAAGTGGGCTGAAGGCAGCCCGCCCTGTTTCTTGGAATTCTGACTTAGGGTAGTTTGGCTGAAGGCAGCATCCCTAATTGTTCCTTGACCTTTTCAAACTAGTCTGTGCACATACAGACCTTCAGGTGTTTACTGGAATCCTTAAGCTTAATCTTCGGGTGTCCTTGCTTAAAGGACATTTCAGATACATGTGTCCCCCCCCCCCCCCCTCCAAGATTACTTATCCTATTGATTGTATCTAAAAGATAAACTTTATCTCAAACTGCTATTACAATAAAAGCCTGACAAGGCAAGCAATCGAGGCTGTCTGGTTCCTATAGCCAGGCAGTCCCTTAGCCCTCTCTTTCACAGTGAACCTGTGTCAGAGTAATCATTCATCCATCTCTCGGGGTCTGCTGGTCAGTCCCAGCAAGGACAGTCTTTCTCAGAAGAGTCCCTGCATAAATTAAGTTTATTATATTATTGGAATTGGGATGTGAGAATAAATAATGGTTGAAAGACCTAAATTGCTATTCTTGGAAACAGTATACATGGGTGTGCTTTGGGCTTATTGGAAAGCACTTATGGAGTGTCTAATGTTGATATTGGAATAGATCCTTGAAATAACCAAATCATCAATAACTATTAATTCTTCTTTGTTTCAAGAACACATCGTATCACTGCTTGATTTCTCTTTGGTTATCAAAACTAGTTCTGAACCAAGTAAGGTCAAGTGATTTGATCAATCTCAAAAAGAAACCAGAACTATAGTTGCTCAAAGCTACATTCACCTATTACTACACATAAATCAGAAGCTTAGATGAGTAAGTGCAACCTTGAAAATATCTGACTTAACTAGGCCGACATACCTACTGATAAAAAAACATGTCCTCACCGAGACTGGTTTGGCTCAATGGATAGAGCGTTGGCTTGGGGACTGAAAGGTCCCGGGGTCGATTCCGGTCAAGGGCATGTGCCTTGGTTGTGGGCATATCCCCAGTGGGGGGTGTGCAAGAGGCAGCTGATCGATGACTCTCTCTCATCAATGTCTCTAACTCTCTATCTCTCTCCCTTCCTTTCTGTACAAAATCAATAAAATTAAAAAATAAAATAAATAAATAAAAACATGTCCTCATTGTTCATCCTGATGTCTTTTACCAAAGATAAAAGTAAACAAAATTCACATAGGTTTGTGCACTGCCTCAGGAGACATATACTACTTTCAACAATAAAGATTTTTTTAAAATAAAAATAGTAAACAAACAAAGAAGCCCAGACAGCATGGATCAGTGGTTGAGTGTCCACCTATGAACCAGGTCACAGTTCAATTCTCAGTCAGGGCACAAGCCGGGTTGTGTTGCGGGCTCAATCCCCCCAGTCACGGGCATGCAGAAGGCAACCCATCAATGATTCTCTCTCATCTTTGATGTTTCTTTCTCCCTCTCTCTCCCTCTCTGAAATCATTAAAAAATACATTAAAAAAATAACTAAAAATAAATAAATACATTGAGAATAGTTATAGCTACAAAAGGAAGTAAGTCCAAATAAATGAATATAGAAAATAAAATGAAGGCAGAGGTCCCAGATATATGACACACAGTCCTGTTCGACTGTTAGAACTAAGTAGGCATGTTACCCCCAGAATTTGGAGAACTTGGTGCAGCATGAGTTTCCATAGACTTGATATTTTTCAACATTAAAGCAAATGGTAACACCTATTCAGGCATCGGGGCTGCCTCTCTAGAAGTTTCCACAACGCATTTGAAAATGGACCTCATTGTCAAATTTTGCATGAACATTTTTTCGTAATTCTGAAGAATCACCCAAAATTAACCCGTCATGATTTTGTAATGCAACATGAAAATCCATTCAGGAATTCATTACAAGAGCTGCACCAAACGCTTCCTTTTGGGTACATGCACACGCATACACATAAACATAATTCCTCTTAGGGATTATAACTCCCTAAGCAAACTTTGAAGGCACAATATACTGCTTTATACGCCACTCATGAAAAAATAATAATTGCACTACGTAAAATAAATAGTAAGGAGTGAATTAGAAAGAATCCAACAGATTTCTGTTTTTACCTCGTGCTTAAATTATAGGTTAAATGTTTTCCCAGCCAGCAAGTGGGAGGCTGTAGCGAACGAGGGGGAGGGGAGAGCTAGATTACATGGGATTCCTTCTAGCTCATGAAAGAGAAGTATAAATTCCTAGCTTCTTCCCTACTGACTTGATAAAAATACAAGGTGCTCTAACCAGCCGGAAGCTCCTTTCTTGAAAATGCCATTTTATGCTTTGATCCAAAACAACCTGTCTTCACAGACTTCCTGCATCGCTGGGGGAACAGATTGGGCACAGTGTCTCCGAAGAACAGCCTTCCGGTGCAGGGCATTGGAGAGGCGAAGGGAAGGCGTCTCTTTCACCTGTTCTGCCGGAAACATGTTCCGACCAGGCTTGCACCACCTGGCTGCGGGCCCCCAACTCCTTCATCTTGGTAAAGGCTGGAGTTCTTTGGAACCCAGGTGCCTCATTTCGCATTCCAAACCGAATGTGTCGGAGACGAGTGGGAAAGCTACCTGTTATGGCATTAAATACTTTTTTTTTTTTAATTCTATTTTGAACCAGCCGATCTAATGTATATTTTGTGAGCAAAGCAACCTCGCCAGAGTTTGGGGGGGTAGAAGGCTGCCCCAGCCCAGCGCCTGCAGGGCGCCCCCTGGTGGCCGGACGCGCCGTAAGATCCGAGGCGCCTGCACGTCCCCCGGAGGCTCTCAGAACCGGGGCGTCGGGCAAGCGGCCGGGGTGGGGAGGGTGGGAGCGGGGATCCGCGCCTGCAGCCCCCGAGGCGCGGCGGAGCCCTCTCCCCGACCCTCGTCCACTCTCACCCCAGGGTGGGGGTGGGGGGGGGCACGTAGGCCAGCGCCCGGAAATAACGCATGGCACTTCCCTTGCCATCTCTGGCTCTCAACCCCGGGCAGGAGGGGGGTGGGGGGAGGTGGTGCCCAGGACGTGCGCGGGCGAGGGCTCGGAGAGGGCGGCGATCCCCGGGGCGGCTGCAAACGGATGTGGCTGGAGCGGGACCGAGCACCACGTTTCCCCAGCACTGGCCAGCTCCACGCGGGGGCCAGGTCGCAGGTGCTATTCCTAAGTACTAATCGCACTTCCCTGCAAAAACATTCTGTAAATCACTTGAATGCAATATTAGGTGTGTGTGTGTGTGTGTGTGTGTGTGTGTGTGTGTGTGTGTTGGGGGGGTGGGGTGATTTCTCCGTGGAACTCACGCGCAAGCACGTTTTTTGGTAACCGAACGGCAGTGAGAGCAGCGCGCCTGTGTGCATTGCTATCTTTACATTTTACTTTATTTCTTAAAGTAGGAAAATGCAGTCCAGAGTACCACAATTGACACTGGGGTCTTCTTGAGAACTGTTCTAAGTCACAGAAGAGCAGGAAATGAAGGGGGGACTGTCCCGGGTACGTGGAGGAGGACATCTGCTGGGCAGCGGCGAGCCCCCTCCCGTCCCAGAAACCCTGGAGCGGCGTGGCCCTCAGGAATCGCGTGTTTATTACTGAATTAACTACGTCTGAAAAGGCTTATTGTATAACTCCCATCAGCTACTGTGTGAGACAGAACAGAGAGATCTTCAAAAAAAAAAAGCTCCCATTTAGGTAGCTAACCACCCTTTTTGGAAAATAAAATTTAATCTTAAAACCGAAAAAAAAAAAAAAAAACCCTAACAAAATGAACACAATCAAAACCAAACCCCCGCCCAGGCCAAAGCAGAAGGTACTTGAAACCCGAATCTGCATTCCGCCCCTCGCCGCTCCCGGGCGGGGGAGGCGGCGAGGGCCGGTGCCTGGTGTCTAATCGCGTTAATCCGGGAGACAAAGAATAAACCAATAGCCCTCCCACCTCACTTCCCGCTCCCCTTCCCTTCCCCGGCTCCTCTCCGCGTCGCCCCCTCGAGGGGGGATCAGGAAAGGGGAGGTGGGTTTGAAATGGATTCTGAAATAAGTCTCGAAACCCTGCAACTTGTTTTAAATGCTAACACGGAGCGGCCCGGATTCGTTTTAAATGTTGATTCCTTTTCCCAGTGGCGGGGAGGAGGGAGGGAGGAGGAAAAGAAGAGTGTTCCGTAAGTCAGACCAAGCCTTACGGCTCGTCCTCATGGCCTCGGGGGAAATCCTAGGGTCCGTGTTTCCTCGGAACTAGAGGAACGGCCCCCGCGGGCACCCAGGCGGCGGGACCTGCCCGGGGACGCGCCGGGCGGCGCGGTTGCCCTTTTGAATGCCTCCTGCGGCTCGGAGCGCTGGCAGGCGCCGCCGTGCGAGTGAATGTAGCCCCGCGGAGCCAATGAGCGGGGACCGGATGCGATATATCCTCTGGGACAACAACTGCTCTGTTCCGCCTCGGATCCACATGACGCCACTTACTGCTGCCGCGGCCGCCGCAGAGCTCCCTGCCTCCTCCGGAAAGGCGAGGGCGCAGGCCAACCGCGGCCCCCCCCCCCTCCTCCTCCTCCCCAGGGCCGGGCCCCAGACCCTCCTCCTCCTCCTCCCCCGCCTTCCCCTCCTCCGCACCCCCCGCCCCCGCCTCGGCCTCGCCGCCGCGCCTCCCCAGCGCCCAGTCTGCACGGCGGAGAGCTGCGCGCCGCAGCGAGCGGAGGAGCAGAGGGGCCGGCGGAGCGCGCAGCGCCCAGGCCCCCGCGCCGCCCGGCCCGGCCCGCGGCCCCGCGCCGCCTCCGCCCGGACGCGGCGGCAGCCTCGCGACCTGGCCATCTGGTGGCTTTAGGGTCTCTGGAAGGCCGTCTTCTTCTCCCCCACTCGCTCCTCTGCCGGGGAAAAGAGACTCGCCGTGAGCGATTCGGCCTCCAGTTCATTGAGAAAAACGAGGAAATAACTCCGCGTGCGCTTCTGGAGAAAGGGGGGGTCGCCTCCAGCCCCGAACTTCATCGGCTCGGGGGGGGACTTGGCTCCGGATTTTTTCCTCTCCTTTTTTGAATTCCGAAGTTGGACTGAAGTTTGAGTTTGGAAAGAAGGGGGGAAAGTTTGCATCGGGGCTGGGATTACTGGCACCTCGCTGGGAGAAGAGGATCCAACGGAGAGGGGTTGGTGCAAAGCCGCGATCACGGTGAGGCGCGTTCGGCTCTTCCCCCCTCCTCCGGGCTCCGGGGCCGGCGCGCTCTGGGGCAACATGGAGTAGGTGCAGCCGGGTGGGTCGGGAGTGGGGTTTCTCTCCCGTGGCCTCCGGTTCCCTAACCCCTAGGCTCCCCGCGGAGATCCTGAGACCCGCCCGCGGGTCTGCCCGGCCGGGGGGCTCGGCCTGCCTGGGCGGAGGCTGCAGCGCGCTGGGCGCAGAGTCCCCGGTCCCACGCGCCCGCACTCGGGGGGAGGGGGGATGTTGGGGTGGCGGAGGCTCAGCCTAGAGTCGGCTCCCAGCCCCGCATCGGTCCCGAATTCGGCGCTGAGAGTAGGAAAGGGGGAGAAATGCCGTGTTTTCAGGTCGCCGTTGCAGGCGCCCGCGTTTCTAACCTGCACCCCCTCTTTCTCGGGAGGGCGAGTCCTGGGAGAGGCTGTCCCGAGGCTGGGGTGCTCTCCCGGGACCGAGGGCGCGCGAGTCGCTCGCCTCACGGGGGCAGCGAGACCCCGCGGGTGGGGGGGGGGGAGAGGGGCCGGGAGGGGGAGCCCCCGCCTCTGTCCCGGGCGCACGGAGCCCGGTGCGGGCGGGAGCGGCGCCCTGCCTGGCGCCGGGCGCTGCGGTTCGGAAGCGCAGCTTTCTCTGTTTTCCGTTCTCCGCGGCCGGCCCGGGTCAGGCTTATTTTTTCTTTTTCTTTTTTTTTAAGATTGGGCTGACCCAACACAGGAAGAAAGTCATCAAGCGGTCGCGGTCGTTTTCCATTACCTGAAAATAGGTGGCAAAAGAGGCTCGTTTTCTTTCCCCGTTTGATTGGCTGGTCTACTTTTTTGTGGTCGCTGCTGTTTTTTTGTGTTTTGTTTTGTGGTGGTTTTTTGTTTTTGTTTTTTAATTGGGAATCTTGTGCGTTTTCACAAAGTGGCCGTGTGGGTTTGCCCCACCCTTGTGCTGAAGTGCTTTCCCCCCTCATCCTCCATCTGATCAGGCACTTCTTCATGGGGACTGCAAAGTAAGGAACTTAAAGACTAGGAGTGAAGGAGACTGGAAACTCGAGAGGGGGGTGCGAAACAGGCCAGGGGTCGGCAGAAATCACTTATAAAAAAAGGGGGGGGGAAAAAGAAAAAAATCTACACCCCCCCACCCCCAAAGATGCTTCTTTCCACCGCCAGCAAATCTGCGCGGAAAGTTCCCAGCCCCGAGGTATGGGTCCTGCATGCCCGACGTGCAGGGGAGCCCCGGAACATGCCCTTTATCTTTAAAGAGTCATTCCTCGTTAACTCCCAGGAAGATAGGTGTGTGCCGATGGCCGGCGGCGGCCCCGGACGGAGTGCCCCTGTGCGCGCGCGTGAGACTCCGGCCGCGGCGGCGTGTCCTCCGGGCGGCGGGGCAGGGAGCCGGGCCGGATGTGCCGGGGCCTCTGCGGGAACGCCCTGCGGGGGGCTCCGTGACCGCTGCCCGGGGGGGGGGGGGGGGGGGAGTGGCTGGGTTTGGATCTGGGGGGCAGTCCTCGGGGTGGAAAGGATGGGGGGCTGGGGAAGTGTGCTCCCGAGTCTCACCGCACGCCCCTCCGAGGCGCCCGCCCCCCGCCCGCGGCGGCGGTGGTGCGCAGGGGGCGGGGGAGCAGCCCGCCCTCCGGCGACGTGGATCCGCCCGCAGAGCGCGTCCCTCGGGGCCCGGCCCGGTCCCACCTGCCGGGGGACGGTGTGGGAGCTGGAGCGCGGTTGTCTGGTCTGCCTTTCTGCTGGAAGTGAGATCCGGTTTCCAGCTTTGCCTTGGCGGGATCCGGAGGCGTGTGTCACCTGCCTGTGTCTCGTTTCTAAAAACCAGAGGGAGGTTGGATAAAAGTAGACTTTTGCCCTTTTCTGTTCATTGTAGACTTAATGATAAACGGGAGGTTGGTTTTTAGAAAAGGGATTGTAATGACTTGTCAGGATGATAGATTTGGGATGTGACACTTGAATTTTTAAAACACTTCCTGTTATCACCAACCGGTTTATGTTCTCAAGTATTTTATTTTCTTTTATTATTTTTTTTTAGAAGCAGGCAAAGCATTTAAGATTTTGGCATAATTTATTTCTAAAACAGGGTTAACAGCTACAGAATTTTTAAGTTCTAGGCAATCGGGCTGTAAAATATACTCTGAAGTTGAGAAATGGAAAATAAATTCCTGTCTTGTTGTTTGTGTGAGTCTGCTTGATTGTGTTCCTGGCACCTATCAGGATTTGAATCGATTTGTTTTTAATTCTAAAACTTTGTGCCTACTGTGTATTGAATGATAGATAGTGCAGGATTGTAAGATTTATATAACTATTCTATGAGGGAGGAATGTTTACTGTTTGCATGCCATATTCATCATACAGGGATCTTATAAAGTCACAAAATACCAGCTAAATGATACTTAAAGGTATATGTTGTAAAAACAAATTTAAAGTAAGAATTTCTAGGCTGTATTTATTGATGCTAAAGACAAATGACCATGCTAATCTTAAACCTTTCCAAATTTGGAAAAAGTGTGCTACTTTTGAAAATGTCACTTGCAATGGTTATGTTCTAATTCTTTGCAATTTTTACAGGGAACCTAGACCTTGAAAATTTTATGTTTATTTGAAGAAGGAATTGATTGATACTTAAGCAGTTGAAACAAAGTCAGCTTTGTGTCACTACACATCACAAGATTAAAGAATTGTCAGTATCCAGCCAAAATTTTACATTTTGGTGCAGGCATTGATCACGTGGCTATTCTAATAATTCCCACAGCCGCTCAGAAACAAATCCTGTTTCTCTGGAGGAAGGAGTGGGAAGTGAAGGGTTAACTGAGGTGGGTGGAGAGTAGGAAGTATCCTGGAGCTTAAACCTACTCTTTCCTCTTGGTTTCTGCAGGAATTCAGATGTGTTCTAAGCCTGCTGGAGTGACCACACTTCCAAGACCCGATGGAGGCCAGAGCTCAGAGTGGCAGTGGGTCACAGCCCTTGCTGCAGGCACCCCGTAACAGTGGGAGACAGCGTGGGGAGCCCGACCCTAGAGAAGCCCTCATCCAGCAGGTACACGTGCTGTCCCTGGATCAGATCAGAGCTATACGAAACACCAATGAGTACACAGAGGGGCCTACTGTTGTCCCGAGGCCTGGCCTCAAGCCTGCTCCTCGCCCCTCTGCTCAGCACAAACACGAGAGACTCCACGGTCTCCCCGAGCACCGCCAGCCTCCCAGGCTCCAGCACCCGCAGGTCCATCCTTCCGCACGAGCGCCTCTGTCCAGGTCCATCAGCACCGTCAGCTCGGGGTCTCGGAGCAGTACGAGGACAAGTACCAGCAGCAGCTCCTCGGAACAGAGACTGTTGGGACCATCCTTCTCCTCTGGGCCAATTGCCGACGGGATAATCCGGGTGCAGCCCAAATCTGAGCTCAAGCCAGGCGAGCTTAAGCCGCTGAGCAAGGACGATTTGGGCCTGCACGCCTACAGGTGTGAGGACTGTGGCAAGTGCAAGTGTAAGGAGTGCACCTACCCGAGGACTCTGCCGTCAGACTGGATCTGCGACAAGCAGTGTCTTTGCTCGGCCCAGAACGTGATTGACTACGGGACTTGTGTGTGCTGTGTGAAAGGTCTCTTCTATCACTGTTCTAACGATGACGAGGACAACTGTGCTGACAACCCGTGTTCTTGCAGCCAGTCTCACTGTTGTACACGTTGGTCGGCCATGGGCGTCATGTCTCTCTTTTTGCCTTGTTTATGGTGTTACCTTCCAGCCAAGGGTTGCCTTAAGTTGTGCCAGGGGTGTTACGATCGGGTTAATAGGCCTGGATGCCGGTGTAAAAACTCAAACACAGTTTGCTGCAAAGTTCCCACTGTCCCACCCAGGAACTTTGAGAAACCAACATAGCATTATTATTAATCAGGAATATTACAGTTAATAGGATTGTTCCCCTCCTTTTTTTTTTTTTTTTTTTTTTTTTTTCTCCTTTTAACACACATATGCAACCAACTAAACAGTTATAACCTTGGCACTGTTAATAGAGGGTTGGGGTATTCTTTGCTGTTTGCAGTGAAATGCTTTTTTGTCCATGTGCCATTTTAACTGATAAGCTTGTTAGAACTCGAGGTATGGGGCTACAGAACCTGACGACTCACATGTTGCATAAGCTAAGGCAGCAGACACTCCTAGACAAAATGTTTCGTTTGTGAATAGTCCTTGCGAAATTTGTAAATTAGCAAATGACTTTTTTCCCCATTGTTTTCTTCAGAGATAATGTGCTATATTTTTGTATATACAATAATATTTGCAACTGTGAAAAACAAGTTGTGCCATGCTACTTGGCACAGTCACAAAATATTATACTAATATGTTGTACATTCGGAAGAATGTGAATCAATCAGTATGTTTTTAGATTGTATTTTGCCTTACAGAAAGCCTTTATTGTCAGACTCTGATTTCCCTTTGGACTTCATGTATATTGTACAGTTACAGTAAAATTCAGCCTTTATTTTCTAATTTTTTTCAACATATTGTTTAGTGTAAAGAATATTTATTTGAAGTTTTATTATTTTATAAAAAAGAATATTTATTTTAAGAGGCATCTTACAAATTTTGCCCCTTTTATGAGGATGTGATAGTTGCTGCAAATGAGGGGTTACAGGTGCAAATGTTCAATATAAAATAGAAAATATATTAACGTTTGAAATTAAACAGAACTCTTGTCTTATTTTCCCCCTCCCCCCCTTTTTTTTTCAAAGTGAAAGAAACCAAACCACATTCTATGTTAAAGCTAAGCATTTCAGTGAAATCGTTTCACTTATCTATAAGATTATTTTTATCTGTAATTACTGCAGATAAAGTATCTTGGAGATTTGATGATTTTCAGAGATAATTCTAGCAATTGGGAGAGAAATAACTGAGCACTTGACACACTTACCTGTATTAATCATGGGGACTTATTCTGGCTATATCATTGCTCTTGTCCTTCCATCTGCTTTGGTAGATTTGGTGGCTTGCCCAAACTGATTCATTTAGGAGACTCTAAAATGTTAACAATTAGACTTTTTTTTTATATCATCCAGTACTAAGCACAAATGCTAATTCAAGACCAGAGAAAGGAATTTAGCTCAATAAACATTTATTGAATATCCTCTGTCAGGCATGCAGAATACACAGAAATGCTTGCAAGTGAGGCCAAAATGTTTTCTTGACAAGCTGATCATGGCTATGATTTTTTTGTTTTTGTTTTTTCAGTCTGTTTGGTTTTAGACTCAAGATTTGTTTTATCACCATGATTCCAAATATGTTAGGAAAGACATGGAAAACATAGCTTGTTTTGATTCAGGTAAAGAGTATCATGAAATGTCATCCTATATTGGCATACTAATTCAAGCTCAAACAGGATAATGTGAGAGGGCCCTGTCTTATTTAATCAAATTATCCAGAAAATTGTTGAATTTTACTCTGAGAAAAAGATTCAGCATGACAATAAGTCTGTGTTTGCAGTTATCTTTGGGGAGCAAACATAGCAAGCTGCTACAAGCCCATCATGACACAAATGCAGGCGTTTTTTTATTTGTAATAAGTCACTTGATTAATCAGTCACTTTTTGGCGGATGATTTTTTTTCTTTCAAAGGCACAACCTTTTGCTGCCAAGAATCTCCGGAAGTCTAGGAAATGATTTACCTGTCATTATTTAATCTCTCATTTCCTGTTCTAAAGCTCCTCCTCTGGTTAAGAGGTCTTAGTACAGGTTGTCTTATGTTTTGTTTTTAACTGGCTTTCAAGGAATTATATAGTCTCCTAAACCAACACATAGCTGTAAGGACTTTCAATGTCCTCAAAACTTACTCCAAAAAACGGAAGGTTACAATAATTTAGAAATTATTTACCCTTTTCAGGATACTACATGTTGCAATTCTAATAATCCTAAATTTTAACCCCTAAAATGCTCTAGGAGGAAGAAGAACGTTGAAAAATTGGGCAGGTGGCTTGTTTACTGTCATTGGGTAGTTTGCAAGGTTTGTAAAGCACAAAAATTTTGATTAATTAGCTTTATTCACTGAAAACTGCCATATGTACTAACAGAAATTCGGTAAAGAAGTAAGATTTTTTTTTTTTTTTACTGCATAAGCAGTTTTCAAAGTTCTTTAAACAAATGGCAGCAGAGCCCACTGGGTGTTTATTGACAGTCTCTTGATAGTCTGATAGTATGGCCTAGGAACTGGCATTTTTTAAATCATAACTGAAAATCTGCTTATTGATTTTCAGGGAGAGAAAGGGAGAGAAAGAAACATCAATGTGAGAGAAACATCAGTTGCCACCTGTACAGAGCTGTACTGAGTGAGGATCAAACCCACAACCTTTTGGTTCATGGGATGTAGCTCCAACCAACTGAGCCATCCAACTGAACTAGGAATTTGCATTTGTAATTGTTCCACTAGTGGTTGATTAGATGCAGTTTAAGAACTGACAACGGAATTGCTAATTTTCCTTTTTAAAAATTTTTTTATGGAGTCAAAGTATCATTCACTAGGTTGAACATAGTGAGAAAAGGGTTTTGTGTTATGTATTTATGAAGTCCTGATGAAAATTATTTAAAGATAAGTAGGAAAATTGGATTTTTCAATAAGCTCCCAACCTGTTAAATGTTGAGTTTATCTAAAAACCAGTATGGAATTCATTTTCAGAATATAGAAAATTAAATTGTTATGTTTTTAACATTAAGAACAGCTGGTGCTCTTCAGTGTGTTAAAGGGAATTTTTAAATTTTGCAAAGTCATCGCACTGAGATGGGAATAACACCTCAAGTATGAATTTTCATGAATTTAGATATTGAGTTTAAAATCATACTCATTATTTTGATATTGTGGTAGGTTCAGAGTAAAAGGATGCAGTAAACATCACTTGACTGCTAAACATGTATGGAAATCTTAACTATATTTTTCTGGCTTCTTACATTTTTATTTTTTTTGGAAACCTATACATTCTTTATATTGAGATTAATTTTAAGAGTGACAGCTTGAAGGTTACTTAAAACATTCATTTATGTGTTTTGAGGAGATGTTATATAAGGCCCTACCAAATTTCTGCCTTGTTGGAGCATGCTCTGGGGGTTGTCTGAAAAAAGAAAGTGAAAACTTGGTGCAGGTACTCCCAACCAAACTGGCATAACTTCCTTCTCCAACCAACTTGTGTCTTGGGACTGCTGACCTCCAGGCTATGTAAGTTAAGACACTGATGATGTCAGAAAAGTGAATGTGCTCTTCGCACAGTGCTCTGAGGTATCTGATAGTCAGTTGGGTTTGATGTAATTTATTAACTTTTGAGCATATAGGTCAAAATTCAAAGGTTTAATAAGTTTAGAGTTTCAATTGCAGTTATAGCCACAATTGTCCATTTGCCTTCCTCTCTTTAATGTGCAAAAGTCTAAACTTTGGAAACTGTTTAGTGTTTAGTGTAGGTCAAAAGCAAGATTGTCATCTTGTGCAGAATATTATAATTGAGGAAAGAAAAGATAAAAGTAGAATATTAACTAATGACAATGCTGTATCAATATCCAATGTTTGGTTTTCATTGTTCATTAGGGCAAAAGTTATCCTGATTTCTATTTTAAATTAAGACAATTGTCTCATTTCTCTGACATAACCAAGGGTGGGTCTAAACACATTGAAGACCAGAGTGCACTCGCGCGCGTGCGTGCGTGCGTGTGTGTGTGTGTGTGTGTGTGTGTGTGTATACTCCACATGGCTCTCAACACCTATATATATAATATAGTTGGATTTTATGAGAGACAACCATGTGACTACCACTAATGACAGTACACCTTTGTACGAAATTAAATCTAAAATATTAGCCTGGCCGGTGTGCTTCACTGGTTGAGCATTGATCTATGAACCAGGAGGACACAGTTTGATTCCCATCGGGGCACATGCCCAGGTTGCGGGCTCAATCCCCAGTAGGGGACATGAAGGAGGCAACTGATCAATGATTCTCTCTGATGATTAATGTTTCTACCTCTCCTTCCTTCCTCTCTGGAAAAAAAAAAAATTAAACCTAAAATATTTATATAACGTTGAAAAAGGAAAGGGAGATAGAAATAAAGCAAATAATAATAATAAAAGATTAACAAACTTTTTATCCACAGCTAGCAAATGTTTTTCATTTTTATTCAAAACTACACTTTTATTAACAAAGAAGTTTTAAAAGCCAGTCTCATTTGCAACTAATGTTTTTTAAGTAAACTATTAGAAGAGGTTAGAATGAAGACTGTAGCCTTGGCCTCTGGCTTGGCTACATGAGATGTAAGGCTTCAGTATACCAGAAGGAGTGGGTTTCTCAAAAACATTTCCAACACAGAACTGTTTAACTTAATACATGGACCACGTGGAATGAGTTTGTGCCATGATAATTTGGCATTCCAAGTTAACTAATGTTTTTTGAATGCTACTTCATATGAATGATAGGACTAATTGATGTAATGCAAAAAGAAAGAGCTACCAACTCTTAATGTATGACAGGACTTTTAAAATAAAGACACAAGCCAGGTGGCATCACAGTACTGTACAGATACTGGAAAAAGCCCTAATGCATTCTGTAGTGGGTTTGGTCTCCAGGTCTTGGCAATTATTTATTTATTTATTATATATGTTTTTATTGATAAGAGAAAGAGAGAGAGAGAGACATCCATTGGCTGGGATCAAACCCAAAACCTGGGCATGTGCCCTTCCTGAATGGGAATTAAACCCATGTCCTGTTGGTGCATGAAACAACATTCAACCAACTGAGCCACACTAGCTAAGGCAATGGGTACCACTATCTAAATAGCCAGAGTTTTTTTTTGCTAGGAGAGCAGAATTAGTATTACTCATGCAATAACATTGCAAATTTATTAATCTTCTAAACCTTAAATGAAATGTAGAGATGTTTGATTCATAGTTGGACAGCTATATTTTGCTAGGTTTATTCTTAAAAGTTCAAAATCCAGTAATACCTTTCCCTAAAAAACCTCAGTTGAAAAATACATTTTAAAGCTATTTAAGAAATAAGTTGGAAAGGTCCATCCATTCTTGCAAATCCAGTTTTGCTGGAATTCACTTCTTGTCATTAACCCATAGTTTTAGCCTGCTTCTGTACATAGAGTAGAATGAATATTTGTGAAGAATGAGTTGGGGATAACTAAGCTGAGAAAAAAGTGTCTGTGGAAGTGTGAAAGGAAGTGGTAAACTTTGGAGCAATTCTACCCTTGTCAAAAAAAACATGTGGTTCAGGTCCTCGTGATTCTGAAGTTAATACAAATTCCATTTTGAAATGGTTTTGTGCTCTGAATAGTGTCTGGTTTATTAACTTGCATCAGTAGGGCTTACAGTCAAGCAGTGTTCTGGTTACCAACATTTCTGTATCACCCTTTATTTCTCCAAGCTCTTCCTAGGCTCAGCACATTCTTTGTGATCCCTAAACCAGCTCTAAAGTAGGCACAAAGTATGCCTTGTGCCTGGCTGGTCACACCATAAGACTGTTCCAGGCATTCCTGTTAGAAAGTCATCTTTGTGAATTCAGGACAGCATTTAAGGATGGACATCTATCTAATGGTCACTGTGAACATTATAAAGCTAGTGACCCAGCGGCCTAGCAGACATCAAGCAGTGGAAAGGGCCTTGGGATTCATTTAGTATCTGCTGCGTTGGCACACTAACGACTAGGTGCCCCA